GCCGCAAGCATGCGAGCTTCCATCACCAGAGACGACATCGAGGAGATGGGGGTGTGTTTTTTCCACGCCCTCCTGCCCCATGACGCTTCATCGACGGACTCATCTTCGGATCCACGCATCACCGAGCTTCTCGACGCATACAGCGACGTGTTCGAAGGCCCCCACGGAGTAGTACCAGATCGGCCCATCCGCCACGAGATCATCCTCGAGGACGGGGCCGTACCTCCACGCGGTTGCATCTACCGAATGAGCGAGGAAGAGTTAAGTGTGCTTCGGGCACAACTCGACGACCTTCTGGAGAAAGGTTGGATTCGGCCTAGCTCATCGCCATACGGTGCTCCTGTTCTCTTCATCCGGAAGCAGAACAAGGATTTGCGGTTGTGCATCGATTATCACAAGCTCAACGCGCAGACGATCAGGAACGCCGGCCCTCTCCCGCGCATCGGCGATCTTCTCGAGCGACTGGGCGGCGCCAAGTTTTTCTCCAAACTCGATCTCAAGTCAGGATATCACCAACTCGAGATTCGCAAGGAGGACTGCTACAAGACCGCGTTTAATACGCGATATGGGCATTTCGAATGGCTGGTTATGCCATTTGGCCTTACGAATGCCTCTGCCACTTTCCAAGCGGCTATGGCAACGGAGTTCCGACACATGCTGGATCGATACGTACTTATCTACCTCGACGACGTCCTGGTGTACAGCCGGAGTTTGGAGGAGCATGTGGAACACCTGCGCACCGTTTTGGAGCGGCTACGACAAACCAAGTACAAAGCCAACCGCGACAAGTGCGAATTCGCACAGCAGGAGCTGGAGTACTTGGGACATTATGTGATGCAGCAAGGCATCCGTCCGCTTGCGGACAAGATCGAGGCCCTACGAGTATGGCCCGAGCCCACCAACTCACGGACGTTCGTTCATTCATGGGATTGGCGGGCTACTATCAGCGATTCATCACCGGAAACTCGAGGATTGTTGCACCTATGACGAGGTTACAATCGCCAAAGGCGCCATTTGTATTCGATGACGATGCACGCCGGTCATTCCAAGCACTTAAGACGGCTATGCTCATGGCACCCGTCCTTAGCATCTATGACCCCACCCTGCCGACGAGAATGACTACAGACGCTTCCGGCTATGGCATTGGGGCAGTCTTGGAACAACACGACGGCGATGACTGACACCCTGTGGAGTAGTTCTGCCACAAAGTGTCTCCCATTAACTCGCTTGATGGTGGAAGGAAGGAGCTGCTCGCATTCGTCATGGCTCTCAAGCGATGGCGGCACTTGCTCCTTGGGCGTCGTAGGTTCACATGGGTTACGGACAACAATCCATTGACCTACTACAAGACGCAGGATACGGTGAGCAGCACGATCGGACGATGGATGTACTTCATCGACCAATTTGACTTCACACCGAAATATCTTCCCGACCTCTCAAATCGCGCAGCAGATGCACTCTCGCAAAGACCTGATCTTTGCGCTATGACACATCATGCCTTCGCATTCGACGAGGA